TAAGACCATCTAGTTTCAAGCCCCCTGCCATGGGCAGGGATGCCTCTCCCTATACCAGGTTGCTCAAAACTCTGTCCAACTTGGCCCTGAACGCCTCCGGGGATGCAGCAGCCACAGCTTCCCTGGGCAACTTGTGCCAGTGCCTTACCCATTCTCTTAAAGGATGTCTTAATGATCTTAAAGGTCCCTTCCAACCTAAACCATTCCATGATTCCACGATTTCAGGAAGACGGGTAGCAGAATTAGGGAAGTCACAATTGCTATTTCATGCAGTACTGTACTTGATATTTGATATACCTGTGTGCAAATAGTACATAGAGAACTAACCTCTACTATTACAGTGCTACTACAGATTTTTCAGATCTCAGATAGCAATAAAACACAATGAAAATAAGAGCTGTAGTGTTACGTGCAATCTGAAGCTAACAGGAATGACAGGAATTCAGGCTGCTGATATGGAGAACCAACCATACAGGAGCTGCAGAGATGCAAGTCCGTTTGTATGATGCATGTGAAAAATAAGCCATCAAAAAGTACTGATAGTTCTTCCTAGTTCTGCCAAGTTAAGATACAAGTTTAAATAAATTACTGTAAAAGAAGGCTGCAATGGTAACGTACATCCACATATAGCAGCCTTCCAGCACCTAAAGGGACCTACAAGAAAGGTGGAGAGGGGCTTTTTACAAGAGCAGGTAGGGATAAAACAAGGGAGAATGGCTTTAAACTGGAGAAGAGTAGATTTAGATTAGATGAGGAAGAAGTTCTTCCCTGTGAGGGTGGTGAGACACTGGCACAGGTTGCCCAGAGAAGTTGTGGCTGCCCTCCCCCGGCAGTGTTCAAGGCCAGGTTGGATGGGGCTTGGAGCAACCTACGCTGGTGGAAGGTGTCCCTGCCTGTGGCAGGGGAGGTGGAGCTAGATGATCTTTAAGGTCCCTTCCAACCCAAACCATTCTGTGATTCTATTAAATAATGAATAATTTTATATTTGAACCAGCAAGAACTATTAAACATAGGACAAATGGCACAACTGGCACAGGAGGAAGTTGGCATTTGCTTTTCAGCTGGTGGTTTCTGTTGCTGGATCAGGAAGCTTTGAGGAAATCCACACCTCGTGTACAGCAGGGCAAACTCTGAACTCTCAACTTCAGAGTTGTTGCATTGGCTCCCAAGATAACAGTATGATCTCAGACTGCACAGATATTGCCTGAAACCATCAGATATGTTAAGACTCTAAGTGAAAGAGGGGGAATAATAAGGTAGTAAAAGGCACTAAATGTAGGCTCTTACTAGGATTAAGGATTAGAGCAGATTAAACAGATTAAAATAGTACACAAGAGGTTATCTAATACCCAGACAATGAGAAGGCAGAAGCTGTAAGGGCTAAAGAGACATTTGTAGATACATTCAATCTTGAAGCAGTCAAAGATAAGATGCCGAAGTTTGACTTGCTTTTTTGTGAGAAATTTAGCTTTCAAACACAAAGTCTTCTGTGATGTGAGCCATCTAAAGGGGGCAAGTTTAAGATACCAGCCTCTCCACACCAGATATTCTCACATTTCCCAAGTCGGCGATCCTTCCAGTCGCACACTGGTCTTATTTCAAGAGACACAAATGCTTCTCAGCTGAGTAGCGGAAGCTGCAAACACCATAAAAAAGCAGAACTCCCTACAAAAGGGGTCACGTAGCCCTCTTCAGATCAGGTGAGTTAAATGGTTTTGAGACCTGTTCCTGCACCATTTTTCAGTGATCTGTACATTCTGCCTCAGTAGACGAGAGTGCTATTTTTCCACATCTACAGAAAATTTAGCTAGCTTCATTTGAGCAAAATGAAGCAATGTAACAGATCAAAATCTAAGACAACTGGCTTTTCAAGCAAAACTAGAAAGCACTGCTCATTCAGCGTAAGTACCAAAAAGAAGGTTCTTATTACCAACATAGATGAAAAACCTAAAAAACTGTGCAGAGATAGAAAAATAGTAGAAAAGACTCCAAGCTACATCTAAGGATCATCCTTAAGATTTTGGGCAGACCAGAGGAATTGAGGTCCAAAACTGTGACTTTATACATAAACTTAGGAGTTGCCTATGAAACCATAGACTGTCTCAAGTGTCACCCATGAGCCCTAACAGCATTCCTCTGTCTACAGTCAGGAAAGCAACTGTCGTTACAGGCACCAGCAGTCACGACAAAACCTCACAAAAATTCAGAAAACAGGTGACATTTCACTGCCACTCAAGCATTTCAATCCAGCCAGCCTCGCACAAACCAGCCTCAGGATCCTCAAAAGGAAAACCTGAAGAAGTTCCCACTCACACTCCTCCCTTTTAATTTAAAACAATAAAAGCCTACTGGTGAAACGGCTGTTCAGGAAATACAAGTCCAAAGTTCAGTTCTCTCGTCAGCTTGTAATGAACTTTAAAGTCTTAATTAATCACCCAGAAGAGAGCTGTAAAACTAAGAAATCAACCACCATTTATATAGCACCCTCTTTTCTCCTGGCAACACCATGTCAGCAACCCTGCCCTTTAACTGCTTCCTGTTCAGTGTGCTCCCCTCATACTTAAAGCCCTGAAGTAACCTTGAGACCAGTATCTACAGAGAACCTATTATGTTGCATGGAAAAGATAAGTTGCACTGTGTTAGCAGTCATACTCTTTCTTGTTTTCATAAAAGAATAAACTCAAGGAATAAAGGCTTGTGTTAAGGACAGCAAAGAGATATAGATTAGATATTCTTAGAGGTTGGGTTTAGTTTTTTGTTTTGTTTGGCAAGACAAGTATTTCTGATTTAAAAACCTGGCCATTTAAAATCAAAAGTTCAAAGTGCAGCCAGATACTGCACCTGCAGTCACAGGATTTTCTGTCAGCATTTTATGTTGTTTCAAAGTCTGTTTAAAGACAATTCTTTCCTGTTGTTCCATATCAAAGAGTTAACTACGAAAGGCTAAGAAATGGTTTTGGTGGTGTATATCACTAGTTAGCACAGTGCTCATGTATCTCCATTCTCTAAGTTCTCCTCACTTACAAGCTCCTACTACAAAAATCTGAGTGATCATACAAAGCAGGCCATCCTGGAAGGAGTCATTAAATGTACAGGGAAAGACAGAGGAAAAAAAAGTTTATTTCTAGCTCACTAGGGCCAAATCCTCCGAGGTCTTTAGGCATAGAGGTTCCATTTACTTTAGCAGATCACACACTTAATGCTTGCTGCTGCATTTAGCATCTGGGCTCTCAGCCTCACCCTCTTTAGGTACATTAACAACTGCCATAATTTAAAGAACCAATTTTATTGCTACATTATATTTTTCCTTGTACTCTGTGACTTAATTGCTAGTAATTATATTTTTAAAACAAGGTTTACTGCTACCATACCAGGCATAGATAGTTCTTGCTCAATTGGCTTAATACACCGGCAAGGGTTGCAGAACCATGTGAATTTACTGCATCAATAATAGAATGTATTTTCATATTCTGGTTCATATTTTACATTTCTCATTGATACACTGAAACTAGCAAGAGAAAACGTATAAAATGCAGCTTTGTCATTACCTGTTACTTTCATATACCTGTTTGGCTAGATGATAGCTACTCAAAACGTTTCAGACACAGAAAGTTTAAACTAACAGTCCAGACCTGATACATCTGATCAAGAGAGCCTCTCCTCTGTATTAGGGTAAAGTTTGTTGCATGCTCCTCTTTGGTATATAGCTAGAGTAACAGAAAAAGCTAACTCATTGAATTTTAGCTTGAGAACAAGATGTTCTTGTGCCCTCTTCAAATGCTGTTGACAAACCTACAGACCAGCAACAGTAGCCCTTTAGCCATGCGCCACATACCCATCTCCCAACCAGTTACACCTTTTTTTCATTACTAAAATGGAGGTTTCTGACAAATTTTTCCATGGCATTACCTGGAAATGGCCTGAAATTGAAATACTAAGTAATTATGGTCTTGGGTAGTAGCTAAACATATTCAAGTAATAATTCACTATAAGATCTAACAACGTAAGCCTGGTTCTGCCCTCTCTAAATAAAAACTGTAAGCTTCTAGGCATGCTTTTATGTATGCTTCCAGAGTGAAAAGTATGGTTGAATACCACCCTCAAGTTAAGTACTATCGCAGCTGCTACAGCAGACTACTCTTACTCCTGTTTTATAGAATTTTGAGAGATAAAGGTCTGAAAGTTGGTTGTGGACTTTGTATATGCCAACCTGGTAACCTTGCACTTGACAATTAAGAGACAGTGAGGTCTTATACTTCTTCCTAGACCACTGATGCTTCACTTACATATCTGCTACTTCGCATCTGAATTCTGGACATGCAGATGTCAGACATCAGCATCTTTTCAGTTTCAAGTACAGGACACCCATACGATGCACCACGTTTGCTGCATGCCTAAACGAAGATATGCACGGATCTGTACTTATGGGGCAGCTTCAAGCCAAGAAATTCAAAGTTCCAAAAGTAATAGAACAGCCTTATCTAAATAACTTATTTACACTTAACTTTCAAATTAGCCTTTTTTAAAAAAAAGCTTTATTAGAATATTCATCTCCTCCCTCCTGGAGCTATTTAAGGTTTTTGCTGCTTAGTGTTGTCTCAGCACCGTAAAATTAATACTGACAACACAACAAGAAGCATGCAGAAGTCCCAGAACTGGATGTGGTCCCTACAGTTAAATGAGTGTATGCCTGCCTTTTCCCTTTGTACCAGGAACTGCAAAGTGATGTGGAGTCCTTTGGAAATAAACAAACGTGTGGGAATGAGGGAGAATGAGAAGTATCCAGGAGTCCCTCACAAAAACTCCCACTGACTTCAGAAGGGCTAGGATCCTACCCACGGTTAGGTATCAAAGTCCCACAGTCTGGAAAGGGAGAAGAAGCGCCTAAGAAGCAAAACTTTGTTGTGAGAGGTTGAACAGTTGGAGCCCAGACCTCTCCGGAGGAGGGCATTCCACAAGCCTTAGGAAAGGGCGGCAGGGGCTCCTGCCAAGTTAAGTACCTTGTAACTGAGCTGAGAGGGACTCTTGGTGCTGCTGGTACTTGAGCGCCGTGGCCTCAGCCTTCCTCAGCTGGCCCTGCAGCTCGTAGTAGAGCATCGCCCCGTAGAGGAAGCCGAACACCACAGTCAAGAGCAGGAGAGTCTGGAAAATCCGCTTCTGTTTTCGGGAGCACATCCCGTTGCCCATGTCCCCGGCGGGGTCCAGAGGCTCCCCGCCCCTCACGGCTTAGCAGCGGGCTGCTGGAGGCGCCGGACGACGAGGCGGCGACATCGGAGGCCCCGGGCCCGCGCCGGGAAAAGGAGGGAGGGAAGGGAGGAGGGCCCGGCCGAGCGTCTCAGTCC